CCCCAAAACCCCAAAACCCCAAAACCCCTTGAGAATAAATGTTAAAAATTATTGGAAATCACAATTAATTTAAATTTATTAAAATGAGGTAAAATACAAATCAACTCTAAATTAATTGTCAATCTTGTTCCTAGGTTCTATATTGACGATTTGATTGTCAGTTTCCCTTATCAGTATGTTTATCCTGAGTAATATGAGTATATGAGAGAACTTAAACATACACTTGACTCTGAGGTAATCCAATTACTAAATTCTTTAAAATATCTAGGGCCATGCTATTTTGGAGATGCCAACAGGAACCGGCAAAACTGTGTGTCTTTTATCTTTGATTCTATCTTACATAAAAGCTAAAAAGCCAAATTATAAGCTGATATATTGCACTCGTACCATTGTTGAGATGGAAAAGACTCTAGAAGAATTGAAATTCATTCTAGACCAGAGAGACTAAGACTTTTCTAGTGAGAGCATGGATGATGGCGTCTTTTCAGAATAAGAAATGGAAGCTTTAAAGTCACCAGTATTGGCTCTATGTCTAAGCAGCAGAAGAAATATGTGTATTCATAAGGAGGTATCCAAGGATGACGATAGAGAAAGAGTGGATAGCAAGTGTCGTCAGTTGACAGCTTCCTGGGTCAGAGAAGAAGCTTTGCAAAAAAGAAGTTAAGATAACCTGTTTTTACAGACTGAAGCAACTGGAGGGAAAATGATGACTAACTTGGTTACAGACATCGAAGATTTATACAAGAATAATAGACTGTGCTAATTCTATGAGAACTTCTGGAACAAGGCTGACTCGTTTAGTATTCCTAAGGGAGTATACACCTTGGATGATTTAAGGCAATTTGGAGGAAAAAACAAAATGTGTCCATACTTTTTGGCCCGTCACTTTCTGCTTCAGGCAAACATTATAGTCTATAACTATGCCTATATGCTAGATCCCAAGATTAGCAATCTAGTCAGTAAGGAATTGCAAAAGGAATGCGTTATTGTGTTTGATGAGTGTCACAACATAGATAACGCTTGCATCGAAGCCTTCAGTTTAAATATCAACAGAAAGACATTAGAACTTGCCAGCAATAATCTTAGAAGGCTAGAGGAAATGGTGAAAGCAGAGAAGCAGTCCAGTACTTCAAGACTTTAGCAAGAGTATGAGAAGCTAATTAAAGGATTGGTATTTGAGAATAATCAGACTATTAATCTATCCGAGAAAGAATTGCTCTCTCATCCCTTATTGGAGTAAGATGTGCTTAAGGAGGCAGTGCCTGGTTCTATAAGAAAGGCTGAGCACTTTATAAATTTTTTAAGAAGAATCATTGTGTGCTTGAAAGAAGAGTTGAAATCTAGAGAGGTGAAGATTCAGACTCCCCTATAACTAATGTATACCTTTTAGGATAAGTATTTCCTTGACCAGAGATCTTTGAAGTTTGCTCATGATAGGTTATCATCTCTGATGAACACTTTATAGATTGCCGCTGTGGATGAATTCTAGCCTATAAACATAGTAGCAGATTTCGCCACTCTCCTATCAACTTACTACAAGGGCTTCACAGTGATAATAGAGCCCTATCCTTAGGATAACATGATTTATGACCCTCTGCTTTAGTTCTACTGTCTTGATGCAAGTATAGCAACAAAGCCACTATTCGCTAGATTTAGAAACGTTATCCTTACTAGTGGAACTATTTCACCTCTTGAAATCTATCCTAAAATGCTTGACTTTTAACCAAAAGTTATGAAGGCATTCAAAATTTTCCTACCGAGAAATGCTATTTAGCCTCTTATAGTAACCAAGGGTGTGGATTAGCTATAAATCTCATCTAAATTTGATGAAAGAGAGAATCAAGGTAACATTAGAAACTATGGAAACCTTCTTATTGAGCTGTCCTCCGTAGTGCCTGATGGCATAGTCTGTTTCTTCACCAGTTATAAGTATATGGAACATATCATCATTAAATGGGACGAAATGGGAATTCTTTAAAAGGTAAGAGAAAACAAACTCATCTATATCGAGACTAAGGATCATTTTGAAACTATTCTTGCTCTTGAAAACTACAAATAGGCTTGTGATAATGGAAGAGGAGCAGTCTTCTTTTCCATAGCCAGAGGAAAGGTCTCTGAGGGAGTTGATTTTGCTGGCCACTATGGACGTTGTGTGATCATGTTTGGTATTCCTTATCAAAACACTCTCAGTAGGAATCTGAAAGCAAGAATGCAATTTTTGAAGGAAAACTTCGCAATCAGAGAAAATGACTTCCTGACTTTTGACGCAATGAGACAATGCTCTTAATGTGTAGGAAGAGTACTCAGAAGTAAGTATGATTATGGGTTGATGATATTTGCGGACAAGAGATATTCTAGAAGCGATAAGCAGGATAAATTCCCCATTTGGATTAGAGATTAGCTGACACTTGACAATCAAAATATATCAGTGGACATTGCGATTAATAAGGCTAATAGTTTCTTCAAGGAAATGGGCCAGCCTTTCATAATGCCTTTGTCCATGCTATATAACAGCGATTAATTAATGAAAATGAACTAGCAGATTATGGCAAAGAAAAGCAGTCAAAGTAAGCACATAAGTAATGGAGTGATCCAAGCTACCACTGGAGCAATGTAAATGATATAAATCAATAACGATTTTTGATTTAATTAAAACATACCATCAGAGATTATTTTGAATCATGGGGTTTTGGGGTTTTGGGGTTTTGGGG